ATCCATTTTAGTGTTTGTACCTTTCAAAAACATTAACCAATGGGGGTGAAATTTTTCATGTTTAATTTCTGTGTAAACAGTAGAAAGCATTTTTTTCTAAACTGCCTCTAAATTTACCTACTATATTCAGACATTCATTTTAATGAGCACATTTAATTTCAGCAGCCCCCAGAGTATACAGGTAGGGCTCAAAGCTAGTAAAATGTTAGTTTTATACACACACACACACACACACACACACACACACACTGAAAGGAAGAGAAGGGAAGAAAAGGTCCTTTTGTTAACATTTACTGTGTGAATTCTAAACGGGATATAAACAGAAGGAAGAAAGAAGGTTGGGGGGAGGAACAAGAAGGTCTTAGCACAGGGGTTCTCAAACTGGGGGTCGGGAGCCAGCAGGGGGTTGCAAAGTTATTAACTGGGGGGTCACGAGCTGTCAGCCTCCACCCCAAAGCCCGCTTTGCCTCCAGCATTTATAATGGTGTTAAATATATAAAAAAGTGTTTTTAATTTATTAGGGGGGTGGCACTCAAAGGCTTGCTATGTGAAAGGGGTCACCAATACAAAAGTTTGAGAACCCGTCTTAGCAGCAAACAGGTCAAAGAAGTTACTGCAAGTTTGGTTGAGACTTTTGGAGCTAGAACCTCAGCTGTTGTAAATTGGCTTAGCTATATTGAAATAACTCAGGATCTGCTCCACCCTTTTTTATAGCCTGTTGCATTATGCTAATGCAATCATACCACCTACAATGCTATTTAAATATGGTTCTTGTTAGCACAAGTTTTAAAACATTGCTAACTGTGATAACACAGTTGCCTTTCTGGTGAGACTATTTTTTTAATCTTATAACTGTGTTAAAATAATGATATAGATTGAGCCCTTTCCTTGACCCAGCCCCATAACATTGTCAACTTAAAAAGAAAAACAAAACTATTCTGAAAATGTGCATTCAGCAAAAGTTGTAATGGAGGTCACATAAAAATAAATGTGAGTAGTTTTAAAATATGCATTATTGAAACTTTTTAAAAAGTATATTTTCCAAATACATTACTCATCTGTAATATTCAAAACATACCATTTTCATTCTTTAATAAAAGAGGTGTATATATTGTCCAAAGTGAATTATTACAATATTGGTACATTACAATAATCTAATGCTTGGTTTGGAATCCCAAAAGCCTGAATAAGAAACTTTAAGGTTTGTCCAAGAGAATTTATTATTATTATTAACATATAAAAATTTGAATTGTATTACTTTATTTTCCTTAAGGGATCTTATTTTGTCTTCCAAGTCCTGTAGAATCCCGTCCTGTTCACAGAAAACGCTTAGCTTGACCTACCAATAAAACCATATATATTTAAGTTAGATTTAAAAAAAGAAAGAAACCCTTCTTTTGTAGCACGATTTTCGTTTGCATTTGGATCAGAATGAGAACAATTACAGTGTAACAGAAACAGCTAAATGCTAAAGTAACTATATTTGACAGGGTTTTGAATTGATGTTTGATACTTACATCAATATCACTTTCTGCAATCTTGACAGGTTTTGTACTTCGTTCTTTTAGTATATCACGCCCTGTCACCTAAAAAGAATAAGGTTTAAAGATATATTAGACTGGTGGCAAAGTGAAGTATAATTATGCTTCAGTGATAAAGAAAAAGTTTTGTTATATGCTCTAGCCAACACATTATATGATTTACTGACACTAAAAATAAATGTTAAAGGGCTTATCTTTTGAAATATAAAAATTTTTAGATAAATTGTAGAACTTGTGTAAAAGTAACAGATCAATACTATTTTCTTCACGAAAAGAAAATGTATGACTCTAGAATTATTACAAAAAGCTTGTCATATCAAATCTTTGAAATATGACAATGGTACATCAATATCTAATTCCAAAGGATTACCAATTAGTTAAATTAGGCTGTTTAATGATGTGATAGCGTGCAGATAGTGAGTAGGTGAGCCTGCACTCTGATCACTTATAGGCTAATTAGTGCTCCAGGAGAAGCTGATTGTGGTTAATGAACTCAACTGGCCAATCACCCCAGGGCTTAAAGAAGGCACAGGAATGAAGTGCAAGAAAAGAAGGAGAGAGAGAGAGAAGAGAGGAACAGGGCTAGCTGGGGTTAAATACACAGAGGCTCAGACTAGGGAGACCTCTGTTCCCCTCAAGTCCTGCTGAGAGTGCCTAAAGCTTGGCAAACACTGTAAATAGGTAGGAGCATGGGGGGCTGTAGTGATATTGGTGAAAGGGCCTTGAAATAAAGTTTCACTGAGAGCACACCTGGAGGACACTGTGCGGTTTCTGCAGGTCAGAAGACGGGGGTGGAGCAGCACCAATGACAAATGACTAGTGCAACTGTGTCAGATTTATAATCAAAGGAAACATCGATCCCATTTGTCCTTAGTTTAAAAGTAAGGCCCCATCCTACAAAACTTTGATGTATGAGTAATCTTCATTGGAGTAAATAGGACTATTCATGGTCTTACAGTTAAAAACGTGCATAAGCATTTGCAGGATAGAGGCCCAACTGACTAAAAACGTGTCTTAGTAGTTCCTGCATATCTACAAAGGGCTCACTCTACCTCAGTCCACAATGAATGTTATGGGAACACAAAGAGGGATATTAGTCTGGGGCAGGAGCGAAATTGATATTTAAATGCACTTCATTTTGGATGTACTTCTTTCTAGTTTCACCCTCTCTCATTCCAGTAATCTCTGGCTCCAAATCCAACTTCTAGAAGGAAAGAAGATAATCCTTAGGGACTACCCACAATTTAAAGTGGACAGACACTCAACTATCCCTCAACATTTTATTTTAGATGAAGTTAGCCGGTCACCAAGTAGGATTTTCAAATATTATTCTAGTGTTAAGATATAAGTACATTTACCATTTTTATATTATTCATGCCTATACATCTCACCTCTCCATTTTCAAAGAATGCATATATTTATCATGTGAATTTCATGAAATAAAAGCCAGACGTTTATTTCCCCATCATCAAATACAAGGTTTACTCTCCCTTAGAAGAAACCAGTCTTAATTATTTTTATATTTTCAACATAAATTGCCAAATAGTACAATATTTTAATAGGAATGATTTTCCTTTTAAATTTATTAATGCAAGTCATTTAGCATTATTGATAGTAAATATTCAGTCACATTTTCAAGTGTAGGAAAATATTTAGTATATTTAAACATAAACAGATGTGTATCCAAGTACAAAATTTGCTGCTTTAATAATCTGCAAGCTAGTGGATAGGTGAACTTTTCTCATAGTCTGCAATGATGAATAATTTGTTATATTTTGAAATGGATTATATAATCACAAGTGCAAAAGTTACCTTAATTTCAAAGCAGTGAAAATGAGAACATAAAATAAGGTTTAGCATGCTTTCACACTTTAGGAATTACATAAAGGAGTCACTACTTAACACAGCCATTCATTTTCAACATATGGTAATACGAAACCAAGCACAGTGAGGTCAGCCATAATTTTGCGTACAGCCTAAAAAAACATTTTGCAGGAAGCTCTTCTATTGATCATGATACACCTGTGGAAGCTAGGGTATATACATTGATTGCTGTTTGAAAAAAAAGCGATGGGATGGTCACATTTCAGATACAAGCAGTCTTACATTTATACCGGACAGTAACCCTTGTGCTGAGTTCTTTAGCACTTTGTAAACCATGTTGATCAGAGGTCCATTATTTTTTATCTGTTTCAAACAAAAGTTTAGCAATAGTTTGTTACTGGGGAAAAAAAGATATTACAACTCAGAATCCCACGAAAAACAGAAATAGAGATTCCAGAAGTTAGATAAAATATCTGTAAAGTTGATCTCCTCTCTCTTTCTGCAACTATTCTCCAGGGGAAGGCAACCAGCAAGTACTGTAGCTGCCTCATTCCTGATTGTTACCCCTTGACTTAGAGATGAAGAATATTGATATGTGTAGAGCACTTTCTTTTTCCACACTGATCACCAAAATTTAAAAAAACAACCTGGAAATTATAACTAGCTGCTTCTCCTCTGATATAACATTAGTTATGATTTGGAAAGACTGCTAGTTCAACCATGAAACTAATTATTTTTTTAATTTTACTTTTGCAACATATGCAAACACAGTGTAACTCAGTGCCTTACAGTGTTGCCAAACCTGTAGTTTCCAAGGGCCCCACCAAGTATAGTGTGATATTTTCTGGTCATGATCCAGTGTCAGGAAATTAGCAGTACAGTACAATCTGCTTTCTGCAGACTGCTTAGAGGTGATAACACGAGCACCCTCAGAATCAGGCTATCTATTTTTGATCAATGTTTTGGCTATGGTACATCACAGATCCTGCACTCCTCCATTAACAAAAAAACTGCTATCCACTATTCCTTAATTCTCTTTATGAACACACACATTCCACCTCATTTCTCTCTCCTCTTTACCTCAGAGGAACTGAACTCCAGTTGTTATGACATAAGTTTGGAGCAGATGCTACAGAAAAGGTTACAAAGTTATAGCTTGATTTTAGTAAGGCTTTTGACATGTCCCACACATTTGCATAAGCAAACTAGGGAAATGTGGTCTAGGTGGGTGCACAACTATAAGATGGATGCTCAACTGGTTGAAAGACCAGTAGTTATCAGTGGTCCCTGTCAAACAGGGAAGGCATATCTAGGAGGTCCCTCAGGAGTCATTCCAGGGCCTGGGACTATTCAATATTTTCATTAATGATTTGGATGATGGAGTGGAGAGTATGCTTATAAAATCTGGAGTTTACACCAAGCTCAGAGAAATTGCAAGCACTTTGGAGGACAGGATTAGAATTCAAAACAATCATGACACATTGGAGAATTGGCCTGAATTCAACAAGATGAAATTCAATAAAGACAATTGCCAAGTACTATTCTCAGGAAGGAAAAATCAAATGCACAACTACAAAATGGGGAATAACTGGCTAGGCAGCAGTACTGCTGAAAAGGATCTGAGAGTTATAGTGGATTACAAATTGACTTTGAGTCAACAATGTGATGCAGCTGAAAAAAGGGCTACCACCATTCTAGGGTGCATTAACAGGAATATCGTAACTAAGACACGGGAGGTAACTGTCCCGCTCTACTGGCACTGCTGAGGCCTCAGATGGAATACTATGTCCAAATGTGGGCACCACACTTTAGGAAATATCTGGACATATTGTAGAGTCCAAAAGCAACAAAATGATAAAAGGTTTAAAAAACTAATCTATGAGGAAAGGTTAAAAAAACTGGGCATGTTTAGTCTTGGGAAAAGAAGTTTCGGGGGGGAGAGGGGGAGAAACCTGATAACAGTCTTCAAATATATTAAGGGCTGTTTATAAAGAGAATGGTTATCAACTGTTCTCCATCTCCACTGAAGGTAGGACAAAAGTACTGGGCTTAAATCAGCAGCAAGGGAGATTTAGGTTAGATATTAGGAAAAACTTTCTAACTATAATGGTAGTTAGGCTCTGGAATAAGCTTCCAAGGTACATTGTGGAATCCCCATCATTGGATTTTTAAAAACAAGTTGGACAAACACCTGTCAAGGAAGATCTAGGTTTACTTGATTCTGCCACAATGCAGGGAGCTGGACTTGATGACTTGCCAAGGTCCCTTCCAGTCCTACATTTCTATGATGAACCACTGAATGGCTTCACAGAGGACCCCAGATTTTCTTGAATTGTTCTAGTGCAAATGCTTAATGGAATACACTCTTCTACACTTCATTAGGCCTTCCTCATTCACATTCTGCATTTCCTAATCTGGAACGTATGTTTGAATTTAAAAAAATCAACAAGTTACTATGGTATTATGAGATCAGATTTACCCACCCACTCTACAGACAGATAGTTTAATTATTAAGCAGAAAACAAACTACTTCCTTTTAGCATTTCTCAATTCTCCACTGCCTGTAGCATGCTTTATTATAAGCTTACACATGAAATGTCTTTCCTTACTGTGTAAGGATTTGACTAGTTTTCAGTAAATAAGGGCTTGTCTACACTTTCAATGCTACAGCAGCATAGCTGCACCACTGGGCAGTGCTATGTGTTTCAGTGTAGACACTACCTACATCAACGGGAGGGATTCTCCTGTCAGCACAGATAATCCACCTCTCCGAGAGGTGGTAACTAGGTCAATGGAAGAATTCTTCTGTTGATCTAGTGCTGTCTATGTGGTGACTTGCTTTACTTTAACTACGCTGCTCAGGGGTGTGGATTTTTCACACCCTTGACTGATGCAGTTAAATCAAGCTAGTCTTCTAAGTGTACATCAGTCAAGGGTGTGAAAAATCCACAC